TTTAGTTCGAGTATTTCAAAACGTCTGTTTATTTCAAAACTTCAGAGAAGACAACTCCTATCGATCCAGACAAGATCTCTGAAGAAATATTTCCAAATTTATAGACAAGCTGTCAGGAAATTTGCTTTGAATTTTAGGTTAACCTAGGCCGGTTAACCTAACCTAGCTTTGAACAACCGGCCCCCGTACTGCAAATTCAGATCTAGCAGATGTAAAAATAGTGAAGTCTGAAGGTGAAATATGATGCTTCATTATGATAATGATAATAATCTTTGTACAGGCACATATGAAATTACATACGATAAAACATACAAAACAAACGTTTAAAACAAACGTTTAAAACAGTGTGTGTAAAGTGTCATTTGTGTCGTCCCTTGTCCAGTCTTTCTGTCAAACTGTGTTGTCATTAGTTGCTGTAAACCCAGTGGAAATATCACTTTGTTAGTGAGCATGTGAAATTTAAATTAAATTCCTTTTTTCGATCCACATGATTAGAATTGCTCAGGACTATATTAAATCAAACGTCTCAGTGATTAGCGATTTTGAAGCGATATATCCACTGTGTTAACCTATATTTCAGTATTGCATTAGCAGGTTACCCGTAAAGGAGCAACTAGCTCTGTGGGTTAAACCGGTCATGTGACAAAGATTGTAAAATAAAATAAAATATCTTTATAAATTATAATAACTATAAAATATAAGATTATAAAGAATGCATTTACATTTTTTATATATTATGAATGATAATATATATGCATGTTTACGTAATGCACTGGTTATCATAAAATAGAAGAATATGATGAAAAAAATTTGCTACTATTTTCATGATAGATTAATTTATCATGTATAATACATAAGAATAGATTATTTGTATCAAATAAGCGGAAAGAACTGTTGATACCGTATAAATTGTTTGAAAAAGTATTTCGAGTTTCTGAAATTTTTTGGTTGGAGCATGAAAACAAGTAGTGAAATTCATCTCCAATTTCATTTGATTGACAGAAGGTACAAAACCGATCTTCGTATGGTGTTTTATTATATCTGCCAGATTCAACCGGTAGTTTGTTTTTATTTATTTAAAAATTCGCCCTATTTACATAATTAAGATAGAAGATACAGTATAACGTCAGTTGAATACTAGAACTAGGAGCCTTTAAGAAACTTTAAAAAGCTTTTAGTACAAGGCCCCTATTACAGCAAATAATTCAAAGGATAGCCATATGTCAGCTAATATATAGTATAGTTAAAGTAAGTTGTGATATAGTTTTACAATAATATAGATATACAACAATACGAAGTTAGAATAATGCTGTTATTATTATTCTTGTATTTGATAATAAATTTTAGCTTGTTTTTTGAACGATTGGTACAATTTAATGGATTTTAAATCTTCGTTCAAATTATTCTAAATTTTTACTCCTTTATTGGAGAGAGTATGCTTCATGTAATTAGTTAGGGTGTATTTTTTATGTAGTTTTTTTGGAACTTCTAGTATTGTGTGATGATGAATTTCATTATTAGTTTTGAAAAAATTGTTGAAAATTTCGGGCATACCTTAATTTGTCGAATGACAATGAGATCGATCTTTTTGCAACTATATATGCAGGGCAATCGTATCCAACCGTACAAAATTAATATAATTTATCACTAAACTGCATGGTTCATAAAGCCAATAAAATAAAATCCAACTGACCTTATTAATATATATATATATATATATATATATATATATATATATATATATATATATATATATATATATATATATATATATATATATATATATATATATATATATATATATATATATATATATATATACAGCTATTTCAATTAAGGTTGTCCCCCGAGCAAAGCGAAAAAGTCAAATACGAGCACGAAAGGCTGCTGGGATTCGCTACTAAATTAATTCATTTATTAGTGATTCCCAGCAGCCTTTAGCGCTCGTATTCGACTTTTCTGCTTTGCTCGGAGGACAACCTTTATTGAAATAGATGTATATATACAGTATAGAATGTTATATAAACCTTTTCATTGTAGTCTCTCAGCCTGACTGTGGATTTATCTTTGGGTAATTACGAACTTTTATTAAAAGCCTTGTTATACGTTACTTTGTGAAGTTACTGCTAAAGAGAGCTATTGAAAGCAGACTGTGTGTCAACGTACACATAGGTAAAACACCTGCTCATCGATATTCTTTTACGTTTACAGTTAAAACCGTGGGATTTTGGCACAAAATTATCTGGCAAATGGGATTTACAAAAAAAGAGCAGAGAATGAGATCTAGACCCCCCTGATTTTCTAATCAAATTAATCTGGTATTTTCTTGTGTGGATAAACCGGTGTGAAAATAATAAAATCATTAAAATATAAATAGAGGATTTAGCATTGTATACATTTGTTTCGCGGTTATTAGCTACAGTAAAGATCGATCATTAAATTGGTTTCATTAGAAATGTTATGGAGAGGCAGATGCCACTAATTCTCCATCTTATATTTTGTCATCAAATACAAAACCACTATACATAGGCCTATAAGGAGAAGAGCTTGTGACTCTGATAACTATAACATCACCGTCTGTTAGTGCTTACTGTATAGTGAAACATACCCACCAAAAGGATCGCATACATGATTTGATAAACAATCGTTAATTGGATGAAAAGCTCGACGTTTCAAGAAACACTGATTTTAATCTTGTTTTCTTCAATTGCATATTTAATGCGTATACCATATATATATATATATATATATATATATATATATATATATATATATATATATATATATATATATATATATATATATATATATATATATATATACCATTATATGCTTTAATGAGTGCTTTGACCTATTTCCCGGATTTTAAATTGATACATGATTTTTTATAAATAAAAAAAGTTGATATCCGGCTATATAGAGGGCGGGTATAGGTGTGAGCAGTGGCGGCATGAGACTTTTGCCTTTTATCTTTCATAATCCACTGTATAATGTATGGAAGGATTAATTAAGTAACTGAGTGAGATAATTTGTCACTCCCAATGTACGTATCTTTTCATCCTAAGAAAATGTGCTTATTTTAGCATGGAAACAGACTATTTGACACCAGAATGGTCGGTGCATGCTCCACCGAAATATTCTAAATTTTTAAGTCATACAATGTTTTTTAAGTTATAGAATGGCCATTTTCGACGTTTCCCTAGAGTTTTGTTTTTGCTTTAAATCTCTCCACAAAAGCTTTATAACTATAGTGTATATAATGCAATTTTAGTGAGGGATAAGACAACAAAGAAGATGGCGGCCATATTGATGTACCTGACAGAAGGATCTAATCAAAATTATTTTGTTCAGGAGCACCAATATGGCAGTTGTGACGCTATATAAAGAAACGTTGCACCAATATGGCAGTTGTCTAGGCTATAAACAAACGTGTCTGTTGAAAAAACGACTGCAACTTGTTGTTGCGCAAGTGCCTTTCATCACAAAGATACAAAATAATGCTTTATACATGAAGATTCGTCCCACATGTTGCTTTGTTGAGGAATGAGTATATTGAATAGTTCGATCACCTCTCCTTGCGGACACCTTTCTAAAACAACACGGGCATCTGGGAACGAGATTGAGCGGACGCCTCTCTAATCCAGATACTTTGTTGTGTCGGTCCCTTCACTGTCAGTATTAGAGGGTTTTCGCAGTATCCTGTAGAACTGTAAGAAATTCGCTAACTACAACAATATACCTCCGACAATTGAATGTTTATTTTGATTTATCACTGCTAGACTTGAACAGAAAACAAGGACGAAAATCGCGGCCAGTTACTGCGTGCAACTTTGGCAATAAAAACTTCACCATTGGAGATGAGTGGAATCCACATCTTGAACCGGATGGAATAAATTATTGCATTACTTGCAGATGTAAAAAGGTCGGTATTTTAAACTGCACTTCTCTGTAAAAAACGGAGGAAAGAGCAACATCCAGGACTTGATATGGACACTAAAACTGTCTGTACCAGTGTTGGTAGTACCAATGTGAAAATGCTGCGCTGAGTGGTTATATTTAACTACCTTAAAAAATAAGCAGAAACTGGACGTTTCGAGCGAAGGCCCAAGACGAAGGGCCTTCGCTCGAAACGTCGAGTTTCTGCTTATTTTTAAGGTAGTAATATATAACCACTCAGCACAGCAACTTGATATGGATAGCCTTTTCAAAAATATGCGGTTTCGTTCTCTCATCCGAAGGATTGACGCCCTCGCCTTTTACGTCTGTATTGTCCCACCCTCATGCATGCATGAAATAAAGTTTTATTCAAACACTCATTAATAATTCATAAGCTTATTGGCAAATCATGTCAACCATAATATGTCACGTGCAGTGGCTTCAAACCTGATAAAACACTCTTAATTAGTATTCTTTATATAAAGAATACTAATAAAGCAGTATCTATTGAGTATTGTAGTCATGTCCTCATTAGTATTCTTTATATAAAGAATACTAATAAGGCAGTATATATCTGTTGAATTTGTAGTCGTGTTTGAAGCCATTTAATAAACTCGCAGGTCGTGTTTTATTAGGTCTAAACTACTAAAGCCACTCGCGCTGCGCGCTCGTGGCTTTAAACCTATTAAAACACTTCTGCTCGTTTATTAAACAGTACATAATAAATAAGTAATAATACTGAATAATAATAGTGCATCACCTTATGAATTGTGATTTACCTCAGATTGCAGATTAAGGTTTTAATGTTGCTTCTCTTTCTCAACTCAATTTATTATGTACTCCATTGCTACTCGTTCGATTCTCATTCATTGACGTCCAAACGTATAATCTTTTCTTCACCAATGATATCACTTTAACATCTTCAGCAGCCAAGATAAAATTTCTCCCTTTCAGTAAATAAAATGCTTAGTAATTGTTTATCTTTTCCTCCAGGATGGTTTAGTTGACTGTGAAGAAACGAAATGTAAGCCTATAACTTGTCCTGGAAAATTAATGCCAAGTGGAAAATGTTGTGCAGTTTGTCCAAGTAAGTATTAAAGCTGATGTCACTAAATGTAGTGACGAAACGGCATGTTCGATGATGTGAAATTATGAAATAGTGTGCATCTGCCTTTGTCCTTGCCTACTGCATGGAAGGAAGCGGAAGTGATTCCCATAGTGAAAGACGGAGACCACGAAGTAACGTCAAACAACCGCCCGATATCTCTTCTTGCCATAGCTTCTAAGGTTTGTGAAAAGATTGTTCTCGAACAATTCAGTAGCTACCTTATAAGCAAAAACCTGCTCACTCCTCATCAAAGCAGAAATAAAAAACTCCATTCCACCGAGACCCTGAACATTCCTAGTACCAACACGATGCTAGAGGCTATGGACAAAAAGGAACTCACTGTTCTAGTATTATTAGATCTCTCGAAAGCCTTCGTCGACAGTATTAACCATCACAAATTGTTACACAAACTAGCGAATGTCGGTGCTTCCCCAGCAACAGTACAGTGGTTCAAAAGCTACTTGTCAGATCGCTTTCAGTCCACCCGAATCAACTCCACCCTATCTGATCCAGTGGATCCACTACCAATCACTCACGGAGTACCCCAAGGTGCGACGCTTTCATCATTATTATTTTGTATTTACTTGAACATCTACCCTCCGTATCTCGTGACTCCAACCTTGAATCGTACGTTGATGACTCGAAAGTTCTCCTCTCCTTCCCATTACGTCAGATAAATGCAGCAATTACAAATCTCGAGCAAGACCTACACAGAGTTGCAAGTTGGTGCTGTGAAAACCACCTTTTAATTAACCCGGGGAAAACAAAGTACATGATGATCGGAACAAGGCAGCTGATGAGCAAACTACCTACAGACACATCAGTTTTATTCTTGGGCAAGTCTCTTAAACCAGTGGACTCTGCTAAAGATTTAGGTGTCACATTAGATAGACATCTAAATTACGACAAACATGTCTCGCTTCTTGTCTCGTCGTGTATGAACAAATTATGCCAGATAAATCGTCCAAAAAATAGTTTCGACACAAAACTTTGTCGGAAATCATTTCATCCTTAGTCATTAGCAAAATGGTTTATTGTTCTTCGGTGTGGTCGAATACGTCTGCCTCAAACGTAAAGAAAGTTCAGTCGATCCAGAACTTTGCCTGCAAAATCATCACAAAATCCAGGAAGTATGACCACGTAACTCCACTTCTATACGTGAATTGAATTGGCTCACAGTAGACAAACTACTAGATTTTAGAGAGATCAGTTTGACCTAGAAATGTGTGAATAACCTAGCACCCGACTATCTTTGTAACAAATTGATAAAAAGGTCATCAATCCACGACCGTAGGACTCGTACACACGACTCTCTTCAAATACTTCTATTTAAGACTGCAGCTGGCCAACGATATTTGCATATAGAGCCGTCCATATTTGGAACAATTTAGACAAGAACTTGAAAGACTGCTCTTCTCTTCAAATTTTTAAGGTAGCACTTAAAAAACATTTGCTTGCAAAAGATAACATTTAGTATAGCCAACTAAACTTTGTATATGATAATTGTTTAAACTTATGTTTGTAACCTTAATTATTATTGCATGCATGTAACTGTAAATAATTTCTGAAAAACCCTTTTAGCGAGAAATTTATTAAATATCTATCTATCTATCTATCTATCTATCTATCTATCTATCTATCTATCTATCTATCTATCTATCTATCTATCTATCTATCTATCTATCTATCTATCTATCTATCTATCTATCTATCTATCTATCTATCTATCTATCTATCTATCTATCTATCGGGTCACACGTGAAGGAAAAACCTCAGAATGGTTGCCAATGAATGCAGGTGTCCCTTATGGAACTAAGCTCGGACCAATTTTGTTTTTGGTAATGATAAATGACCTCGATGTTAAAACACACGCATTCAGTCCTGCCTAGATTCAATCAATTCTTGGGCTTCATGTAACCTTATGAAACTTAATTAATCCCAAAAAATGCAAGGAACTACGTGTTTGCTTTCTCAGCGAAACACCTGAACTATCACCATTTTTAATTGACGGCCACGCGCTTGTTGTTGTGCGGTAAGTGATCTAAAATGGAATGATCACATAGAATCAGTTGTATACAAAGGCTTCTAAACGCTTATGTATCATCCACATATTACGGCGAGGTGGCGTTCTCGTGGAGGATTTATTGAGTATACACTTTGCCTTAATAAGATCGGTTCTGGAGTACTGTTGCATTGTACGTATGGCACCATGCCTTACCTTTGTACCTTGCCGACGAATTAGAGTGAGTGCAAAAACGAGCGCTGAGAATTATTTTACCAGGCTACTCTTATAGGGAAGCCTTAGCACGCCTTGGGTACCTTACCTTGCCTTGCCTCGCCTCATCTCATGTCATCTCACCTTACCTTACCTTACCTTATCTATGATCTATTCTTATTATACAGATCCAGAAAATGGCGTATCACTGAGTAAAAAACAATGCCGTTATAATGGGAAGAGTTATCAACAGGGAGAAGTTTGGAATATTCCCATGGAAAAAGAAATTGGAGATAATAACTGTGCTGAATGTACCTGTCATGTAAGACTATCTGTTCACCCTGGACGAATTCGGAATCGTACGCAAATCCGTCTGGTCCCACCTGTTCACATGGGAATTCGTAGCTGAGCTCGAATTAGCCGAGCTTCCTGTGTGAATAACACAATCAGGGAAAGTTGAGTACGATCTCGAATTCTAAGTGAGTCAGTATTTATTCCTGAAAAATCATATATTTGACATTTAACTGATCAAACTGAACCAACCGTTTTTCTTCTATAATCAATTAAGTCAGTATTGAAACTTGTCCAAATAGTGGAAGTTAGACTAAATTAGATGAAGTGACAAGTATGTCCCAATGACAATACTTTAAAGAACTAAACAGGGCATGTCTATGTGAAAGTGATGATTCGTTTAATGCATATATCTGAGGATGATCGAATTGGAGTAACGCCTGTAAAGCTCACTCACACTCAAAAAGTGGCGGTTCAATCTGAGCTTCCCTTGAGTGTCAGTGCTGTTTTTGAAGAGCAAATAAAGGAGGCAAAATAATGCATGATGTGACCACTCATCAAGAATATCTAATAGTTATAACTTTAACATATTAGATTTGCCATTTAAATGTTAAACCTATAAACACTAATTTCTTGTCATATTATCAACTCGTGTGTATCTAGCTGAATAAGAAGAGGAATGTTCACTCACGTTAAAATAACGTTAGAAGGATGGTAGAAGTTAATGCACATTTTCATTCAGTTGTTTTGAACAGGTTATTATTTTCAAGAATCGACATGCGCAAGTTAATGCAACGTCATTATTTAATGTCAGGA